ATATCCTCTAAAATGGTGAAAGTAGGGGATTTTGGACAATTTCATGCTCCAACAAACCAAAACGGATATATATATATATATATATATATATATATATAGAGAGAGAGAGAGAGAGAGAGAGAGAGAGAGAGAGTGTGGGTAAATTCTAGGGGTGTGTATAAAATCAACTGATCCAATTGGAACCGATTGAACCAATTAGAACCGACCGACCATAATTGGATATCCAATTGTAATTGGATCGGATTGGGAATTCAACATCCAATTTGGATCGGTCGATTCTCGGATGACATTCTAGAAAACCAATCAACATCCAATTAATCTTCAGACGTCCATCAAACTATCATCCAATTAATTTATTTTCAAATTGCTTAAATCGGAAATTGTTTTTTATGTGAGACTTTGAACTTTTAACTTCCCTTGTGTTGGTTTTAACACTTATTAAAAGTGATTAATCAATCTGCATCATTGTTGGAGAATTGGATTGAATTAACACACTGAATGGATCCAATTCCAAGGATCATTCATTGGATATCCGATGTATATCTAATAAAAGTATCAAATGAATGGAACCGAACTGAACCGATCCAATTATCCGTTGAATTGCATTGGATCAGTTATCCAGTGTTAATCGGATCAGATTAGTTGACAAAATCCAATATCCAATGGATGATTAGATCTATTCGGTTCCACTTACATCCAATAAATATCAACCAATAAACATGACTAGTAAATTCCTCTAAATATGAATAACTCTCCAAAAATAATTACAATGGATGAAAATTATTTTTTATTATATTTCATCAATAAAAAAACATTAAAATTTAACGTTTAGGAAAAAAATTTATTTTATTATATATATATATATATATATATATATTATTTTAATAATATAATTTAAAAATAGAGAATATATTGAAATTAAATACAATTATTTTAAGACAATTTAACTAGGGCTGTAAATGAACCGAACGAACACGAACGGAGGCTTGTTCATGTTCGTTCGTTTAACTTAACCGAACAAACGAACGAACACGAACGGTAAACGAACGAAAATCTTTGTGTTCGTGTTCGTTCGTTTAGAAATAAGGTGTGTTCGTGTTCGTTTATGTTCGTTCGTTAACATGCTAAACGAACGTAAACGAACGAACATAAACGAACAGACTAAACGAACATAAACGAACATGTTAAACAAACATAAATAAATATTATTTGAATTCAAAATAAATAAATAAAAGATTATATATTAAATTTAATATATAAACGAACATAAACGAACAAATATAAACGAACGTAAACGAACGATAAATAAACGAACGTTCACGAACATAAATGAACGAACGAGACTCTTGTTCATGTTCGTTCGTTTAACTAAACGAACAAAAAAATTTGTTCATGTTCGTTCATTTATTAAATAAACGAACATAAATGAACTTCCCACCGAACGGTTCACGAACGATTCGCTGAACGTTCGGTTCGTTTACAGCCATAAATTTAACTATAATTCTGTGTTTCTTTTTGGAGGATGATCGGCGATGGTTAGCATTTGGCGCGAGTCACCAATAATGGAGTCGGCGCAATTATTAGAAGAGAAGAGAAAAACGACGTCGCCTTAGTTGACTTCAACAAAGTATCTGGTTCAAGATTCGATCCTATCTCCTCGATCCTCATTTCCACAAACTTCAGATTCATCAATCTCTCAAATCCCTTATTTGTAATGGTTGTTCTCTCTCAACTTTCAGAAGGGTCTTCATCTTCTTCGCCAGCTCATGACGGTAGAGTTGACGTATTTTTAAGTTGTAGAGGATGCGACACTCGTAACAGTTTCACCGCTCACCTCCATAAGGCGCTCCAAGATGCTAATATCACTGCCTTTTTGGATGATGAAGAGATTGAAAGTGGACGATGTTTGGAACCGAAGTTGGAGGCTGTAATCAAAGCATCCAGGGCTTCTATTATCGTCTTGTCTGAAAATTATGCTTCTTCGACTTGGTGTCTTGACGAACTTGTGTTGATTCTCGAACAACATAGGAACTACGGTTACATTGTTATCCCCATTTTCTATCATGTCGATCCCAGCAGTTTTGAAGATGCAATCGCAAAGCATAAACAGTGGGTGGAGACGGAGATAACTGCAGACCAAAGAAGTCAATGGAATGGAAAAATAGAGCTATGGAAGAAAGCACTTTCAGAAATTGCTGATTTAAGAGGGAAGGATGCAAAGGGCCGGTAACTACTTTCTTATCATCCATTTTAACACATCTCCTCAATTTCTTTTGATTGACAGTTTGACACATGAAATTTCAATTTCGTTATGATACTCCAATTTTTGCAATTTTTAGGAGAGAGACGGTGCTTATTGAAGAACTTGTCAAGGACATCTCCCATCGATTAGGTTTAGACATAGCAAGTGATCTGCCACTGCTTATCGGCGTGGACTCTTCTATAAAATTCATTACTACATGGTTGAAAGCCGGATCCTCAGGTACTGTCGACATTCTCACTATTTATGGTATCAGTGGGATTGGGAAGACTTCTTTAGCCACTTATGTTTATGGGTTACACCGTCATGTATTTGACAATAGCAGCTTCCTTCAAGATATCAGTAGGAGACATGAAAAATACAATGGAATAGTTGATTTACAAAAACAGCTTTGTGAGGACCTCTCAAAAAGTCTGAATCAACGTCATGATGTTTCTGTATGCACCTCCAACATTGCAAATACATTAGCCTCTGAAAAGTTTTTTCTAGTTCTTGATGACATTGATAGTTTCAAGCAGTTGGATTCGTTACTTGGAAGCAAAGATTTTTATCCAGGAAGCAAAGTCATAATAACAACCAAAGAGGTGTCTCTAATAGAGAGTTGTGCACTATTCAATATGAAAGTTTCACCTACGCATACAAAGCTCTTACTTCAAGGCTTAAATATGAGTGACTCGCTAAAGCTTTTATGTATACATGCATTCATGTGCAACAATCCCAAGGAAGGCTATGAAGACGTAGCAAGAGAGCTTGTGAAGTATTGTGCTGGACATCCATTGACTCTTGAAGTTTTAGGCAAGCTTCTACGTAATCAAGATGTAGCTTATTGGAAAGAGCACATAAAAAGGCTCAAGGAAGAAAAGGATTCCCATATGAAAAATATCTTGAGAATGAGCTTTGACTCTTTGGAATACGAAAATGACAAGAACTTGTTTTTGGATATTGCTTGTTTTTTCGTTGGAAAAGATAGAAATTACACTGAAACAATATTAAAGGGCTGTGGTTTCCACACACTACATGGGATCTCAAATCTCATTGAAAGATGTCTTCTCATGATCGGACCAAGTAATGAGTTTACGATGCACCAGTTGATTCAAGAGATGGCTAGAGATACTATACGTCAAGAAGCACTTGATAAGCCATGGAAGCGTAGTCGATTATGGTGTCATGAGGAGTCATTCAAAGTGTTGAAACAAAAAAAGGTAAGAGCCCATGTATGCTTTCTTGTTAGTAGCATGCATGCTCCAAGTGTTTTGTATTATCTATCTATACACTTGTATAACACTTTTTTGCATTTCCTTTCTTCTTAAGGGTAAGGGAACTCTTCTAGGCCTTGCACTTGACATGAAGATGCTGGAGAAAGACAAGTTGCAGGGATCTTTTGAATTGGATATAGATGCATTGAGTAAGATGCATGATCTGATGCTACTACAACTCAATTATGTGCAACTCAGCGGCTCTAGGAAGAATTTTCCAGAAGAATTAAGATGGCTGTGTATGCATGGGTTTCCTTTAAAGTCGGTACCTTCAGACTTACCAATGAAGAATCTGGTTGCTCTTGACATGTCTTATAGCACTTTTGAATCTTTTGACATGTCTAATGATAACCTGCTGCGACTTGGGAAGACGCAAATGGTAAGAATATTGAAACATCTACTTCAATTTTTATTTATCATCCCTGTTACATTCACTAATTATTTTACCTCCATTTCAACAGTTAATTGGATCGTCCTCAAAAGACAACCGGTTGCTTGGATCATTGAAGATTCTTAATTTAAGTTCCTGCAAACAACTTCGTAGTGTCGGTGGGTTTTATGAACTCCCTGCACTTGAGATGTTAATACTTGCAAATTGCATTGGTTTGATTGAGATTTGCGAATCAATTGAGCAATGCGATGAACTTGCTCTTATTGATTTGAGTTATTGCACTACACTTAAAAAGCTTCCAAGGTGTGGGGTCAACTTAAAGAAGTTTAAAACACTAACACTGGATGGTTGTAGTCTTGGTGAAGAATTTCCAAATGAAGTGAGGAATACGGATTTACCTGAAATGCTCAACTCTGACAACCTTGGCATAAACTCACAAACCTCTTCCTCTGCCATTGTGGGTTCTTCACCAACTGAAATGAGTGATACGGATTTACTGGAAATGCCCAACTCTAACAACCTTGGCGTAAACTCACAAACCTCTTCCTCAGCCATTGTGGAGACTAGACCAAGAGATTACAGGTCCCTTGTGATTTCTTTACCAAGCTCATTAGTATACTTGTCGCTTAAAGGTAATAATTTATCCGATGAATCCTTCCCCATGGACTTGAGTAGCCTATCCATGTTGAAGGAGTTACATTTAGATTGTAATCCAATCGTTTCCCTGCCCATTGGTATTAGAAGCCTTTCCAGGCTTGAGAAACTTAGTATGGTAAAATGTCTCCGGCTTAAGACGTTTGAGCATCCTCCGCTTACACTAAAACACTTGAAATTTGATCATTGGCATTCGCTACAGAAAATTGTATTTGACCAAGAAATGTCCCCACTGACATTTAGTATGGATTCACCCTGGCCACCATATTCCGGGTTGGTGGTTGAAGGTCTCTTCAAGATCGAAGCTATGTCACATGTTGCAGAAGAGGTATCACGTAGATTGGGGTGGAGTAATTTAGAGTTCATAAATATTCAGCTTGTGGAGACTAAAGATTTGATGACAGGAACACATAAATCTCAAGTACAGGTTTCTTCTAATTAACTATCTATCTAGTTGTAAATGTGCACAAATAATTCATGTTGATTAAGCTTTTGTATTTGGCAGATGGTTTATGAATTTGGGATATTTAGCACATGGTTCAAGGGGAAAGAGATTCCAAATTGGATAAGTGATAGAAGGTGGGAGGGGTCATCAATATCATTTACCATCCCATCATCTCCTAACAACCTTAGAGGACTCAATATCTGCTTCGCATTTACAAATCCAAACGCCGGTTATTTTGTAGGGGATTCCTATCACTTGTTATTGTCAAGTATAAGAATTAGTAATATAACAGAGAACCACACTTGGATATACAATCGTTATAATTACTCCATTACCCCTATTCCTGAGTGTGTAATATTGTTAAGCCATTGGATGTTGGGGAAGAATGACATAAAAGATGGTGACCAAGTTACTATTACCGTAAGGGGTTATGGTACTGGTAGTATTATAAGGGAGTGTGGGGTGAGTTTTGTGTATGATGATGATGATGATGATGATGATGGGGAGCATAAGATGGAAGAAGATGTGTTGGATTATTACAAGTCATGGAATCATATCATTGGTGGAGATCTCTCTGCCTTTCTAACAACAAGAGGAGAATATCTCCTAGACGTCACACGGTTTTTTGGGTGGACAAGCCTTTATTGCCCCTTCTTTGAAGATCACTGCTATTACGAAGGTACTGCCATATTTCTTAAAAATTTATAATGTAGGAGATCAACACAACACAATGCAACGCAACGCAGCATGCAATGCAACGCTTGGATTTCTTCTAAAACAACAATTTCTTCTGGCAGCAGCTACTAATAATAACTAATGCATTATCTTTTATCTATTTTTTCATCAGAAAAGCATCCTACCTTTAGAGCTTTCTCCCCAAGGAAGTCCAACGTCTTTGTTAAGGTACTTTTCGACATTCAAGTCCTTCTCTCATCAAATAAATAAATTATACGCATGTTTTCATCTAATCTATTTTGGTCTCAGGACATAACGGAATAGAAACATTGGATGCTTGGAAACTGAATCCTGCTTCGGAATGATGTGATGTGGTATGGATATTTGTCAAAACTGTTTATGTGCATTCATACAAAGCTCTCATCCATACAACGTACTCCTAGTGGTAAATCGTTAATGCTTGAGCAGTTGTCGCCATTCTTGCACTTGAAACCTCCATATATGTATGCAAGATGCTTAAATGGCATATCACAATATAAAGTTATGCTCCCTCTGATAGCTTTCATATCTTGTTATATTCTTATTAAAGAGGAGGTTGAGCCATTTAATTTGTCAAGAGTCCAAAATTACCAAGACAACTTTTTCTGGGAAATCTTGATATCACAACAGTTCCTTGGCTCCTTGCTCCATGGTTTAATGTACATACAACTTGTACGATGTGAAGTTTGTTTGTGGCTTTACGTATCTTGGATAAGTAGTTTATTGATGTAAAATTCTAAGTCATCAACTCATGCATTTGACATTGTAAAGAGACGGTTGTTAATCAAACCTCATTTTTATTGAGAACCCAGGGAACTAAGATAACCAAAGGGACTTTGGCCTACTAGTATCTAGGCCAATATTCCAGACAATACAATATCCGTGAGGTTCAAACCTCACCAGATGTGAGAAGGATGTGTGAATTTATTTGTTATATATAAATATTATATATTAAAGAAGTGCTCGTAAGATCTTCATGATTATTTAGACTAAAATTCCTAATGGAACTTTGACGGGTTCTCGATGAAAATGAGATTCCTAACGGAACTTCTCTCACTAGAGAGAGAGGTTCAAACGAGAACATGGTCAAACTAAGAGAGCGAGAGAACACCTATATTCCACATGATCCAGATTCGGCCAATGCTCTTAGGTCGTTGATCCAAGCATGCCGTGCGTCCTTGGTTTGACCAAACCTGAATCACATATGATTTTTAGTCGTTTTATCTTATTGACCATGTTCTCATTTATATATATATATATCTCTCTCTCTATATATATATGGCTTTTCCATGTTAGCAATTTTATTGATGATTGAACAGATTCTAGCAGTGATGACAAGTTTGTTAAAGCTTAAAGGCAATGTAATTTTTATGAAATTAATAAGAAAATGTGTTGGTTCAAGTTTGGAAACCTTATAAAGCTTGAGGGACTAATTTACGTTTACGTTTACGTTTATTTGATTCGCTACATAAGTGTACGAATTCCTATTTCTGAGTGTTTGTTTGTTTCGTTAAATATGTGTATGGTTTTTTTTTGATTTTCTTTCAACTCGTTCTATTTGATTTGGTGAATAATCATGTTCTTACTTCCACCAAAAAATTATTTTGCGTTTCCTTTTGGTTAGTTGATCGTTTGATCATGTCTATTCGTGGATGAGTTTGGTTTGGTGGAAACGTCAAACACTATTTTAAATCTGTTGAATTTCATTCTGAAAATTTCATGTTATTTGTAAAATTCATAACAAATCGCTCGTTTACTAGATTGCTGCATATGATACGTTTTTGAAAACCTGGATATGTCTACTACAATCTATTGTCACACGAGCAAACTATGATTTTTGGGCTAAGGTGTCTAAATTTGGGTTTTTCGATAATAAATATGATAATAAAGTGCTGAAACTAGTAAGACTCGATTTCGAAAAGTTATGAGTGTGAAATTCCTAGTCTACGTTTGGATTCCCCGTATGTTTTGGTTTAAAATATTTTGTTTCCCCTGGTTATGTTAATGGTTTATTAGAACTCGTATCGTTTTAAATTCCCTTTCAATCCGTATCTCGTTCAATAAATCGTGTTCGAAAATGTAAGGTTTATGGGAAGCAATTAATATTCTTGTATGGTCAAATACCTTTTTGACTCATTTTGAAATTAGTATAATTTGTTATTCATCTCAATGTGATTACATGCGTTGTGATATACTTTTATAGTTTATGCATTAACGTATACCGAGCTATTAACCACCTATGGGGGTACCATAGGCATGTCATTGTGGCACTGATGATGTGACATCATCTGTGGCGATGTGATCAATCCACGACGTCTCTTTTCAATTATTTTTGTGCTCTAATGAGAGCTAGCCATGGTGTCATAGTGATTTTATTCAAGAGGCGTATGGGTCGACCCTATTCTTAATCCATCTTTCATGAACACTCAGAAGTTTGATTCTTATGTCTAAATTCAGATTTTTGTATTCGTCGGTTTTTGGTTTGAGTATTTGTTTGTTAGCTATTTTATCTGTGTATCGAGCGTTTGGATCAGCCGCATTTTTATTTTTCGCGATAGGTATTCAAGGAATTGGAAGAAAAAAAATGTACCGTTCAAGGTAATTGCTATATTTGATGGTTTTTTTTTTAAAGGGTTGGATAATGCTCTGTGTGCTTTCGTTAGAAGATTGTTTCAAGTTTGATAGTAACCTCCTTTTCCGTCTTGGGAAGGAGGTATTACAGGCAATGTGGAACTTTATTGCCGAACATTGAAATCATAAACTACGAAGACCAGAATACGGGTTTTCGCATGATGCATAACTCATTCAAATATAACGTTTCAATCTACCAGACACAAAAGATTTCCTCAACAAGAACAAGAACGTTGAACCAGCCTCATAGCTTATCTCTAACAATATCAATGAGGAAACATACAAGAGAACACGTTACCATTGATTTCCATGTGGATAGAGGTTGAAGCATTAAGTGGCGTTTGTTTTTTTAAGAGGTGCTGAAGTCTGTTGATTCCTTTCACATAAGAGGATAATATATGTACATATATATAATATAGGGTGACAACTCTAACGTTACATCAACAACATAGAGCATAGGATTCATAAACCATTTATGTAAAAGAGACAAGATCTCAAAATTACATCAACGTTACAATGAACAAAACATGATGTGTGTATATATAGAGGGCTCATAACTCTGGATGCTGAAGGTTTGAATCAGAGGTAGAGGTCTTCAAGCCATACAAACTCATGGGCTGCTGCTGGCCGGATAATCTTGAGATAATGAGTCGAGCTATGTTCTCAGCGGCAACAGCACTAGTTTCCATGGTGCTGGCTGCATTCTCAAAAGCATTTACATAATACAAATGCATATCATCCAACATAAATGGAGCAAACTTCTCAGGAGCATGGTAATGAGGGTATGCACCCCAGTTGATTCTCAATGTCTCCTTCCTTGTGCTGCCAATCATATATGCAACTCGGTATTATTAGCATATCAATTCCATCATCAGATGGCAAGAATACGTTCTCTGTGGGGCCGCTTACCAGGTTGCTTACCTTACCGGATGAACATGAAGGACCAAGTACCCGATAAGAGCGATGGCAAGGACCAAGAGTCTTACTCAGTAAGTGAGAGTAATGACTCTTACCCGGTTAGTGCTTACCGGGTATATTGTTGCATATGATGCTGTTTTGATGGACTATAATCTTACCCAGTAAGGTAAATGGGAGTGTTTACCAGGTAAGCGTCTGGCGCCTATATCTATTTTAGCATTGTGGTCAAACTTCTTAAAATTAGAAACCATACACAAAGACAAGTACTCCCTCTGTCCCAAAACAAGTGGTTCATATTTCTACTTAAGTTTGTCCCAATATCAGTTTCACTTTCAAATAAAGTTGTAATGTACTAAATTTTCAACTCTACCCTTAGCTATGCGCGATTTATTTAAGAGTTGATGAGATGGAAGGTTTGCCTCTATCATTAAGGATAACACTGTCATTCAGTTAATTCCAAGTGTAATAATTACATATTTCTTACAAGGTGTTTTTTTGTCGTGGATATTTATTTTGGAACAAAGAGATTAACAAGTAAAATATAAGGCATATAGCATATGGTCATGCTTTTCTCTAAAATTAAGATGCACTAATACCAATGAAAATCACAAGGAGACCAATAAGACTGCATCTTTATGTTCAATCCAACCCTCATGACAATAGCATTTTCTATGATATGAAGTGCAAAGACACATAAATAGATAAATAATGCAGAGAATGCAGAGAACAAAAAGTGGGCCACGCATTATTACCTAAAGATTTGATCCAACAATGTGTCCGTCAAACTTTGACGAGAGAACATCTTGTAAGTCATATCTTCCGCGCTATGTTCCTTGAGAACAGAGATGCATGTAAATGGAAGCTTAGGACTCTCTATGGTGCCTACCAGTTCTGGAATATCTGATACTGCATCCAACCCAAAGTATGCCTATGTAAATGAAAACGTTAGTATCTATGCAAGTTTGTAAGTAGATGATGATGATGATTTAGATGACAATAAGAAGCCTACATGATTCAAGAGGCCTCTAACAAAAGTTGCATGTGTATGCTGTAATTTTCTTTCTGGGATAGAAATCACAGGGGTGAACTGAATGTTCAGCTCATCTAAAGGGGTAGCAACCACCGTCACTTGACATGTGTAACTGTTTCCTTGAGTGGAGTTAAGCTCATAAAAACCACCAAGATTTGTGACGGATACTATTTCTTCTTGGAGATGCAAAGTAACATCTGAACGGTTGACTAATCCAGCAGCCATCTGCCAGTTTCCTCCTTCAACTGCCCATAAGTCTCCTCCTGATCCAGCCAGAGAAACAGCACCAGCAAGTCCACTGATACGGACACTCTGACCATAGTTGATTCTTGTTATAACCTGAAGAAATTATAAGGGATATTAAAAGAGATGATTTTATAAATATTCAGCTCCTCTTGTGTGTTTATTTATTTATCATCAAACATGTATGTAATGTAATATACCAACATACTGGGGTATATTTGCACCTTATGTACAATTTATCAGCTTTCCAATTATTTTTGTTAAGTGCTCAAATCCCTCCTTTCCTTGAATGTTAATAAGTTTTAAGACTTCCAAGTCAAAATTTGAAGTGTCTCACAGGAACTTCTGCCAACACTTCCATTCAATGCATCATAATAATCAAAGTCCCATTCCAATGGACAAATAATGCAAACTTATATGTCAATGGAACAGTTGAGGGTCTTATTTTCAATAATGAGGGTCTGCAGGTGATGTTGGCATTGTCGTACAACAAAGCCGACCATAAAAATGAACTAAATAATTAATGTATTGTCCTGCGAATTAGAACAAACAAACCACTAAATCTTGGTTATCTTGATCATGATGCACATCACAGTACCATCTCTCAACTGGAGGCCATTTTTTCTACTTCCATCATATACACTTTAGCACCCTGTAGCAAGAACATGACAAGAGCTTCTTGAAACAACCATGTACAATTTAAGCTAGTGAGATATCTCGGGTAGAATTTAGTCCTACGTCTTGTAAGAACTTAATTAAGAAGGCATTTACCATTCATTTGACCCAAAAACAATCCACATATGTTCTATAAAAAATCTTGAAAAACCAAATCGAACCAAACCGAACAAACCCATTATATCTCACTCAAAAGCAGGGTTTGGAAGGGGTGGGATGTAATGAGACATGTCCTCTACTTCAAAGAGTAGAACAACTTTTTCCATAAAGACCCGCGGCTTGTGCAAAAGTGTGAGCAAAAAGGAAAAGGAAAGGGAAAGGAACTAGAAATAATAAGCAGCAGAATAGAAAGAAAAAAAGAAGAAAAGGAAATAGCCACAATGAAACATATACAAAGTAAGGACACATATCTCTCCATCTATCTAGGACTATGGGATTGTTTGTTAGCAGCTTAATGAGCTTAATGGGACTCACAGCTTATTTGGTAAGCTATATATGACTGTTTGGTAGTGGCTTAATTATATAGAAAGTAGCTTATTCAGTAAGCTTCTAAGGGGAAGCTTTATGCAGAAAGCCAGTTTTTTTTCCAAACCTACCCCTCTCAATTAAAAAACAGGCTCAATTTTATTTATGAAAAAACTCTCCAAACAAAAACCTTTCCAATCTATCCAAACAAAAACCTTCAGTGGGAATTGGCTGAATCCACTAGGCCAAAACAATTGATGGTCAACTGGCTGAATTTACTTAAATCAATTGATGGTTAACCAAGGAATTAGGGAGCAATTACCACACTTAATTTTAGCAGTTACCATATTTAATTCTAAGAATAAAATAGTATAAATAACAGGCTTGCTTATCATTGTTATCATCGAAGTTACTCATATTTATCTTTTGTCGTAAACGGAGACCTTGCCCCTCTCGAATCGGGCCACTATCAATAAAAAGCTAGCCTATTCCTATTCTTATTAATTTAGTACCTATCATTTGGTTCCATTGCTGGGAAATCGATATGGTGCAAACCCAGAATAGCGACAGCAGTAATCCACCCGATCCCATTGCCGCTCAATTGGCTGCCATAGCCGCGAAATTGGAGTCAATTGAAACGATGAAGGAAGATATAGCAGCTCTGAAGAAAGGAGAACGATCCAGAGGAGGAAAGAATGACGAGGGGGAAAGTTCTTGGAGGGGTCCACAGCCACATAGACCCTATAACAAAATTGATTTCCCGATTTTTAGCAACGGAGACCCTCACAGGTGGTTGCCGAAAGCCGAAAAATATTTCAGGTATTATCAAATACCGGATGAAGAGAAGGTTGAGATAGCTTCAATGCACTTAGAAGGGGATGCCTTGGACCTCTATTCATGGCTCTCTGGCGATCATCCAATCACTTTTTGGGAAGAATTAGTCCAAGCGTTTACCAGAAACTTTGGCCCTGTAGAGTTTCAGAACCCAGATGAGTTCCTTTGTAGCATTAAACAAACTAGTTCAATACAAGAATATCGGCAGGAGTTCGTTAAGAGATCCTCTCGGGTTTCAAATTGGCCCGATCATTGTCTTTTAGGGGTATTCCTAAACGGCCTCAAAGATGAATTAATATTCGATGTACGAATTCACAAGCCCTGAACGATATATAGTGCCATGAGTCTAGCTCTGGTGTTTGAATCTAAACTCACCCCCACTGACCCAGAAAAAGTGCTTCTTGGATCCCAAATTCGAAACCCTCAGCCAGATCCCAAACCAACAACTTTCACCCCAGCCCAAACATCAACCCAACCAAAAAATACTTTCCGAATTTCCGAAGCAGAGAAACAAAACCGATTCCTAAAAGGGGAATGCTTCAGATGTGGCAATAAATACGGACCGGGTCATCGTTGCAAAACCGGTACTTTCAAGGTTTTGAGGCTGATGAGGATGTTGAAGAATCACCTACAACAAATCTAACCAGCCTCAATTCTGACCAGAAACTGCTGAAATTAGTTTACATGCTATTATGGGGAAGTCGCATCCTACCACGATGAAGGTCCATGGTATGCTTCATTATACTGAAGTTTTAATTTTAGTTGATGGTGGTTCTACACACAATTTCATTTTGGATGTCTTAGTGAATGAACTTAAGATGGCTCCTCAACCGGTAGAGCCTTTCGCTGTTCAAATGGGTAACAGGGATGTAATTCGATGTGGCCAAATCTGCAAAAATCTTCCTGTACATATTAATGACCTCAAGATCACTCAAGATTTCCATCTTTTTCTCTTGGTGGAGCTGATCTAGTTTTGGGTATTCAATGGTTAGCCACATTAAATACTGTTCAAGCTAACCGGATTAAAATTGTTCATGATTTTTTCAATAGATGGGAAGCGATACCAACTACAAGGCATTGCATCCGGCCCCCAAAAATCATCCAGTTTCAAACATCTAGCCATTGACCCTGAAGTTACCCCCTGCATACCAGCCCCACTACAACCTATTTCTCACCTAATACACCACTGTTTTTGAGGAACCTCAACATTTACCCCGGTTAGATCACAAACCCATTCAATTCCACTTTTTCCAAGCTCCACCCTGCCTAACATCCGTCCTTACCGTTATCCCCACTCCCAAAAAAATGAGACAAAGAAACAAGTGGAACAGTTGATGACCGCTGCTTTATTCAACCGAGTACCGGCCCTTTCTCAAGCCCTGTATTACTAGTGAGGAAGGACAATTCTTGGCGAATGTGCATCAATTACCGAGCCCTTAACAAGATAACTTTAGCCGATAAATACCCTATTCCCAATATTGACGAGTTACTTGATAAACTGTATGGTGCTACGGTGTTCTCAAAACTCGATTTGCGATCGGGTTATTATCAAACAGTGGCAACCCCGAATGTCAAGAAAACAGCCTTTCGCACTCACTCGGGTCATTACAAATTCAAAGTCATACCTTTTGGTCTGATTAATGCTCCCTCCACATTTCAGGCTATCATGAACGATCTATTTCGTCCTTACTTACGACGTTTCATACTTGTGTTCTTTGATGACATTTTAATTTACAGCCTAAGTATGGAACAACACAAGTTTCATTTGGAACATGCCCTAAAATTACTTCATGACAATCAAATTTTTGCCAAATTATCGAAATGTTGCTTTGGGCAAGAACAGGTTGTGTTCCTTGGTCATGTGGTCAACTCGAAAGGAGTTAGTGCAGAGGAAGAAAAGATATCAGCAGTTAGGTCGTGGCCCGTACCATCAACAGTAAAGGAAGCGAGAGGTTTCCTCAGGTTAACCGGGTATTATATTCGTAATTATGGTCTCATAGCCCGACCCCTCACCGCAATGACCAAGAAGGATGGGTTTAGTTGGTCGGGAGCGGCCCTTAAAGCCTTTAATGACTTGAAACAAACCTTGCTTTCTACACCAGTTTTGAGATTACCAGATTTCTCGAAACCCTTTATTATAGAGTGTGATGCTTCGTCGAATGGCGTGGGAGCAATATTATCACAAGAGGACCATCCTGTGGCCTATTTCAGCAAGGGGTTTTCCCATCTAACAGATTTAAATCGTCTTACAATAGGGAGTTGCTGGCATTGGTCCTAGCGGTACAAAAATGGAGTCATTACCTGCTTGGTCAGCATTTTCTCATCCATACCGATCATTATACCCTGAAGTTTTTATTGGAGCACTGCATTACCACTACAGAGCAGCAAAGGTTGCTACTTAAACTCATCGTTATGATTTTTCGATTATTCACAAGGCCGAAAAATAGAACAAGGGGGCAGATGCCTTATCTCGTCGACCCCATTCAGGATAATTGACACTCATTGTCCCTTATTGTGTTGAGGTGGCTGATATCAAAGTTGGGTTTGATCCATTTACAAGCGACCAGATCAGCAAATTGAATGAGAACCCTTCGTTCGTCACTAATTTCTCTCTTGCAAATCAGCTTTTGTTTTATCAAGGGCGTTTGGTAATACCAGAGGTATCTTCCCTCAGACTTATGTTGTTACAAGAAGCACATGATACCCCAAGCGGTGGTCATGGGGGGTTTTTTTAAAACCTATAAACGACTTTCCTCTCGATATTATTGGCTAAAGATGAAACAGGATGTGAGATTTTTGTACAGCAATGTGTGATATGCCAACAACAGAAATACCAAACTCTGTCTCCCGCCGGTTTGCTTCAGCCCTTACCCATCCCAAACCAAATTTGGAAGGATATCTCCATGGACTTTATCGTTGGTTTACCTCCATCAAGCCGTTTCGATATTATCTTAGTCGTGGTGGATCGCCTAAGCAAATATGCTCACTTCCTCTGTTTGTCTCATCCATTCACGGCCAAAGGAGTAGCTACAGTATTTTGCAAAGAGATAATCAGATTACATGGTTTTCCCCGCTCTATCATTTCTGATCGAGACGTTGTCTTTCTTAGCAACTTTTGGCAAGAATTGTTCCGATTAAGTCAGACCAAGTTAAAGTTGAGTACAAGTTACCATCCTCAAACGGACGGTCAAACCGAAGTTCTAAATCGTTGCCTAGAAGCTTACCTACGCTGCTTTGCTAGAGAACAACCAACCAAATGGAGTACTTTCTTACCATGGGCCGAATATTCATATAATACCGGGTACCACACGTCCACCGATACAATCCCATTTTCTATTGTTTATGGCAGGGAACATCCTTCTTTGTTACCTTATGTGGTGGGGGAAACCAAAAATGCAGATTTGGAACAATACTTAATTGATAGGGATGATATGTTGAAGCTTCTTCGACAAAACCTCCAAAAGGCCCAAGACCGGATGAAAAACCAAGCAAATTTGAAGCGACGGGAACTCACGTTTCTGGTTAGTGACTATGTCTTCTTGAAGATTCAACCTTATCGTCAAAAGAGTCTGGCCAATCGTCGGTACGAGAAGGAGAAGCTATCCCCAAGGTTTTTGGCCCATATCGTATTAAACAAACAGTTGGTCCAGTTGCCTATGAGTTGGAACTACCATCCGAAGCTAAAATCCACCAGGTCTTCCATGTCTCAATGTTTAAACCTGCCCATGATTCTTTTTCTTCAGTTCCAACTGCACCATTACCCATCACCAAAGACTGGGAAATTGACTTGCAACCACGTTCTGTCATCAGTCATCATTGGGTTTATGAAGCTGGCCGCCAAAACTTAGAACTGTTGGTCTCTTGGTGTAATCGTCCCATCAAAGAATTTACGTGGAAAAATTATGATCTAGTAGCTGAGCAATTTCCTGCATTCCGCCTTGAGAACAAGGTGTTTTACCGGGAGGGAAGTAATGATAAAAACCCACTGAAGGTGTACTCGAGGAAAAGGAACCGGGTCACAGCTGCCAATATGGGGCAGCTGAATTCTATTTTTGGGAATTGGCTGAATCCACTAGGCCAAAACAATTGATGGTCAACTGGCTGAATTCACTCAAATCAATTGATGGTTAACCAAGGAATTAGGGAGCAATTACCACACTTAATTTTAGCAGTTACCATATTTAATTCTAAGAATAGGATAGTATAAATAACAGGTTTGCTTATCATTGTTATCATCGAAGTTACTCATATTTATCTTTTGTTGTAAATGGAGACCTTGCCCCTCTCGAATCGGGCCACTATCAATAAAAAGCTAGCCTATTCCGATTCTTATTAATTTAGTACCTATCACAACCCCTACTTTACCCTATATGTCAGCTCCCTATCCTAAACTAGCTTCTTTCTATCCTCACAGCTACAAGTCCCTGCTCTAAGCTACGACCTTATCTTGCATCTCCAAGAACTCTTATTAGAGGTCATGTCCTCGGATATGTCTAAGGTTGTCATGTCCATCTTCAATTGCTCACCCCACGTCCTCGTTGGCCTGCCCCTCCTCTCTCCATCGTTTTCTACTATCCTCACTGGCGCAGCCATCGATCTCCTGCGAATGTGTCCAAACCACCCTGGTCTTCCAGCTCTCAATTTATCCATGATAAGCACAACTCCCAACTTTGCATGGAAGACCTCGTTCAGTATCTTATCTAACATGGTCCGACTACAAGGCCATATATGCATCCTCAATTATGCAGCTTCCAACTTCTTCTCATGGGTCTTTCTTGTCGCCCAAGACTCCAACCAATAGAATATGGTAGGTCTGATAGCTACCCTGTAGAATTTCCCTTCCGCGACCTTGTCAGACAGCACCCATGGTAGCTCTCCACTCTACCCCCTCATCAATATGCTCCCATTGAAATTGCACCACGTGCAGAGGGAGAATATAAGTAACTGTAAATAGGGGTGAACATAGGGAGAATATAATCAATAGTCGATGCCAACCGAGGAAGTTAGGTTGATTTATATCCTTGTAGTGTGTAATGTTGCATGCACTTTTTGATTAGTACATAGAAGAAAGATTCAGTGTTCCACATGGTTTCAATGTTGTAGGGAAAGATTCCTGTCCTTTTCCCGCACAACCTCTATGCACAAAATCCAGCTTTACCTTCTCCATTTGTTATGTTTTCGATCTGTAGAACTGCCAAATTGCAGTGTAGGTTTCAGCCTTCAATGATGGAAATTCTTTGTTTTCTATATCATGTTGAGTTCAGCTGACTGAGAGAGCTGTGTTCGAGGGACTGGTTGACTGACCGAGGGATTGGTTGAACAAGCGACAAAGTGTTTTATGGTATATTCTAGTAACTACTTAGTTTACCAAGGGATTAGTTGAATAGGAAAAGAAGAATCAGTTGACATAGGTTGAGTATATAAATCCTAATGATCCAGAATAGTTACCTAAAGATCATACTTTGATTGTTCCCCTGAATACAAAATTTTGGAAAGAAAAATTAATGTTCAAAGAATGTAGCAGTCATAAACAGTGTGTCTAGACCTTCTTTATTGCTACAGAGTACATTTGTAGGGGCGAATAAGACCTAACCAACCTGACCCGAAATTTAGGTTAATAACTCAACCTGAGCTAGCCCTACCCGACCACATGTAATCCACCCCTCAACCTTCTTGTATCCCTGGTCCACTAGTCTGGGCTAACAATCCGAAATTACCTTGCTCGGATCACATTTGATTCAAACACATGCTCATTTTTTAAATACCCTTATAATCAAGTTGGGTATAGACAATTGGTCTAGTGTTAGGATAGAAATGAGCAGAACAACAGATATTTGGTACATATGAGTCAATTAAAATGACTGATTTACCCTCTTAATTTAAATTTGAGTACCTTAATGATGATCAAAATTTAAATTCATTTCTTTTCGACCAACAAAATAAATTATCCAGAGTTACACCCATAAGTCTTCCTCTTATTCTTTTTCTCCATAATCAGATAACTTTTTTATGGGTTCCATGCTGGCAAATATAAAAATGTGTTTAGAGGATGAGAGAAAACAGATAAGGGGGCTCTCATGTTCGTCATTAGGAGATATATGTTCAAATGGACTCTACTTATTTGTCGATAAGAAAATCATCTGACAAACCCTCTATGAAGATCTATTGGTGTATTACAACAAAAAGTATGTGTAACATTCATGAATTTTCATCTTAGTGATAATATCCTATGTTCAGCCCAACCAACTCAAAATGTAACTGGTTGGGTTGGGTTATGCATTAAAAAGTGTTGAATGGGTTACGATTTTCTAAACTTAAGTAGTTGGGCTGGCTTATTCAAATGTCTGAAGTAGCCCAACCTAACCCATATGCACTCTTAAACATTTGTACCCCTTCTGAGTATTGGGTATCCAATGAAGGGACATTTGTGAGACTTTGATCAAGTTTTGTTCTTTTGTTATCATAAACATGGACAAAGGTTGTGGAGCTGAAGACTTTGAGGATTATTGACTCGGTACGTTCTCCATACTTCTTGGCTAGCTCTCGCATTCCAGTGAGATGATTAAAATCCCACTTCAACAAAATTGCAATATTCACAACCTATATGTCTAAGATGTATTTGGAAGGATTAATTCACAACCAATAATATGTAAGTGGAAATTGTGTAGGTCACCAACAAAGCTGCAAAGGCCACACACCTGGAGTACCATCTTTTAAATAAGGCTGCAAAAGAGTCGAGTTTTAATCAAGTGATTCAAGCTCGATTCACTCGAACTTTATTGGGTTCGAGTACAAATATGAGCTCAAAAGATATAGTGAGTCAAGTTTGAGTTTATACGAACTCAATTCACATTCTTATCGAGTTTTCCGGGTCCTAAGTATGTTAAATATGTATGTACTTGTGTCAAGTTTTTGCACTTTCTGTGTCGAGTTCAGATCGATATTGCCTTATTAAACATACTCCTAATAGATATTTATGGACTCGAGAGATCAAATTGATCTTGCTTTATCGATCATATTTTTCTGGATATTTTGAGTTATTCAAGCTCTCAAATAGAATCTTTCTCAAGAAGACTCATCAAACTACCAAATCAAGATCAAGCTTAGCATAACACTAATGAGTCGAGCTCAAGCTAAGCTCGGCTCCTTTGCAGCCGTATTTTTAATATCACTTCATCAAAATTGTTACAAATAATCCACATAACTATATTTCTTTAGGCTGGTATGCTTGGAATTGGACACAAGATTCGGCAATAAAGTCGGCAGAGACAATGCTTCATGTCAGAATCCATTAGATTACCACCTCAACAGATTAACATCATCACAAAAACAATGCCATATGGCACTGTAAGTTTCTCACCCCAGATAAAACCACAGAACAGATCCTATTTACAATTAAATTTTAAAAAATTTATGGAAGCAGGTAACTTACAGTTATAAGCTCTTGTATGAGCAGAGGAGAATATTTGAGACCAACTAATTCGTCCTCTAATGTCTGTGTTGTCAAATTGTACAAGCCTGCCCACTTGAGCATATCCTCCACATTGCTGAATATTGGCCTTGACTCCCTACTTTCGTAGTACTTCAAGAAATTATCCACTGTAACCTGCCAAGATCGTATATCAGAAGTTCATTTGTAATCAATAACACACATTTAACAGTAGCTGCAGGCCTGTATGGCTTGATGCATCTTTTCTTTGCTCGCTATAAAATATATCAATAATTAAAAATTAGGTTACATGAATTTACAGCATGATAAAGGAAGAGGCGTGATTCGTTCCTTGTGAGGTGATACATTATACAGCTAGTCCTGTGAAAATGAAGCCAAAACAAATTCTGTTGGGGTTTAACCATCTTAATATAGCTACACTGGAGTCAGTGAAATGAGTGCAAAATAGGCATGTCAGCATACTTAAAATAGTGAGCAAAGACCAGTCATCACCCTAAGTTATATGCTTAACTAGAACACATGTGGAATTAACATAGACATGCCATGCCGACAATTTATAGATGTGAGCAGGGGATTGATAGTACCTCCTTAGTGTTGTGCCACATGATGCTTGTTGTCATGAGAAATGAGAAACACCCTTCACACTTCAATGGAAAGGGTGCAGGTTGGCTAAGAAGTTAGTTCAAAAGAGTTGGATACAGCTAGAAAGTTGAAGTAGAGTTGCTAACAGGGAACCAGGAGAGGTAATTGATACCCTAAGTAGGAGAGTGAATATTGCATCCATTCAGAAAACTAAGTGGATGGGTGATAAATCTAAGAAAATTGAGAACATGAGTTTTAACTTCTTCTGTTCACAAAAAGATAGGACAATGGAGAGATGTAGGGAACATAAAAAAGGATTTGCATATGGTGTTCATTGGTCTAAATTAGGCATACTATAGGGTGCTAAGAGAAGAAGTGTCATGAGCTATTGACAAGAACAATGCCCTACAGTGGAAGCTAATTAATTAAGGATACTTGAACCATCAACCAGCATGAAAACACGCGACAATAAAAAAAATGTTTTCCTACTACAATAGGCATTGGCATACACGAAAGCTAGCCATAAGACCTTATCCTCTTGCTTTACTTTTGCATGAACTCACAAAGGGAATAAAATACGATATACCATGGTGTACGCTTTTTTCCAATGATATTGTGTTAGTTATCATGCAAGGTGCTCATGGAAATGGTGTTCACAAAAAACCAACTTGGAATTGAAAGTTATTTTGTTAAGTCACAATAAAAATAAAGTACATGAAATGAATATGGAGAGATTGACAAAAAACCAACTTCTAGAAGTGTTGATAGGAAATGAAAGATGAACATGAAGCATATTACCACATGTAGTGGTTGGGACGGACATGTCCTGTTGTTTGGTATGAATATGGAGAGATTGACAAGGTCAAAAGATAAGAGCAAAGTGGATAAGATGACGCCAAGTTTTAGGAGTCCCATATCATCAAAATATTCTATAGAAGTCCAAATTTCTCTAAGACAACATAAAGACCTCCAAATTTACATGGTAAAGAAAAGAGTTCATGACAAGATAACATATACACAAGTCGAACATTCTGAAAATGTGAATATTGAGGTGAATAGAATTAGAAATGATGAATAGAGGAAAAGCCATGGCAACATAGTATCTCCAACTTATACTTTATGGGGATTGTACTGTTGGGATATTGTTAAGGGATTTGTTCCCACATAGGAAGGGAAGGGAACATTTGAGAAGCTTATAAGGCTAACTCCATAGGCCTTATCAAATTAGAACACAAACCCATCTAAGGAACTTGAATAGATAGTTGAATCCTCTAAATGGACGCTCGATACTATGCACGGCTAGGGGCGAAATTCTGTTCAAGGACACTGCATTCGGCCCAGTTTAATAGATTCAATGGTCGACTTGCTTGTGCAGGCCTCTATCTAATCATACATCCTACGTTTTCAAATTTCAAGTCAGTGATTCTCTTCCTGTGATAAGATTTTCGATATATTATACATATATTCACATACACGTTTCTAGTTTTTAGTTTGATTTTACATATGATATGTTCTCTACATATACATATATTTGTGAATTTTTCCAGTTTTGTAACAAGGGTTCTAACATGTACCAGGTCGATAGAGAGGGTCAGGGCCGTCCCTGGGGGAGGGCGACACGGGCGCACGCCCAGGGCCCAAAAATTTTCTTTTAAATACAACAGTAGTCTAAAATAAAAAAATAAATTTAAAAAAACCCAAAAAATTGTAGTATACAATAAGGGGCAAAAAGAATTAGTAGATAATAAGTGCCCAAAAATATATCAATTAATTACATTGGAGAAGAAAATAAAAAAAAAAATTAATTGTCATTCATTATATGTTATTGTTTATTATTGACTCTCTAATTTTTTTTTATCTCCAAAAAGGTCTAATGATATTGGCTATTACTATCTCTATATGCTTGACTGTTTTCGTGCTTCAACTATTCAACGTTAAGATCATGTGCTTGTTATTGCTATATATTTTTATCAATTTCTGTTTCTATTGACTATTGATATTTGGTTATGTTGTTCTAATTGCTTTTGTTGACTATTGTTATCTATTTTTGCTTCTACATAAAATATTTTATTATTGTTTGACAATCAATTTATTGTTCTTATAATTTATGATATGTTTCATGGTTTTWTGATTAATAAATAWTTTTTTTCTACTAATGTCTCTTATAATGTCATGTTTCATAAACTTTTAATCTTAACATCTTATTTTGGTTGAGCAAAAAAAGAAGGAAAATAAAATTTAAATATTT